GTGTTCACTTGGTCATCTCCGCTGCCGATAGACCTGTTATATCCTGCCTTTAGCCATCTGTTTCGGAGGCAGGTTATTGTGATGGGATTCTGGAAATAGTAATGATTGGCAAACTATATAGGGTCTATTAATTCTGCTTTCAAACCAGGATGTGCTCTGAAGTGGTTTAGGTCTTAAGAGACGGCATCTTTCTCCAGCAGTGGCCAGACTGTGCTTCTGCACTCCATCCCCCTGACTGCAGACCAGCTTCTGCCTCCCCTGGCATGTGGACCTGGGGATTTTTGTGTTGTGTGTGCTCTTGGCATGTGCATCACTGTAGGGTTACCTTCCACCGTAAGTCCACCCCCACGCAGTGACAAAGCGAAGCCAGCAATTAAAAGTAAAAAGGCAATCTGTGTAACCACAAGAGGAGACAGGACTTCAATCAGGATGAATTAGAAGGCCCAGAATGCATAAAAACAAGGAGAGAAGTGAAAGATAGCAAGGAAAAATCCATGGCTGGCAGGGAGAGACAGTAACAGGAGTATTTTAGGTGAAATGACAGAGTCTGCATCCAAGCAAGTTCCAGTGCCACCTGCACAGTGGGGGCGAAGCCTTGTCGGTGCTGGGAGCCTCCTTCAGAGCAATAGGCCAGGCTGGGTTGGCCATTGCAAGCGTTTGGTGGCCCAGCTTCCCTTCTTGGGCCTGGCTTGCGATCTCTTCCCACTGCTCTGGCAAATGTTTCACTTAATGCAAGTCTCGAATTCACCTCAATCGTTTCTGGTTTGCACCGTCCTCACCGCAGTGTGTCCAGCTGCTTCTGCCTCCCAGGTTTACTGCATTCTCTTTCAGTGGCTTCTTAGGGCTAATTAAAGCCTTTCCAGCAGTCGCTCCACTGAGTTGCAGGTGCTGTTTTAACTTTCCTCTTCTCCACAGAAGACTGTGACAGACTTTGGGCACTTGAGTTGACCCTGAGGGAGTTGCCCATGGCTGTGCTGCCATCCTGCAGCAGGGGCAGGCTGAAACCCCGCATGAGAGGGGTCTTCACTTGTGACCAGAGTGAGTCTTTGATAACTAAAACAATGCAGGAGATGTTACATTCCTAGCGTACGACCACCACGCTGTGGTCCCTACGCTGCACCTTACTATCAGATTCTGTGGGTCTTTGTGACCCATCAGGCACATTCATCATAATTTTCTTTAGATATAACTCCTGTCTCACCCTTCTTTCCTTTAAAAGATGAGAAGGGGAAGAGGAGAGAATTAATGTCACGTGCTCATCTTACTGCTCGTGGTCATCTCTATAAAACTCTGTTCTTGCTCTCTTCTCTCAAAGTGTGGAGGTTTTGGTTTGTTATTTCTGGGAATCCAGACCTGCTGTTGATTTGAGTATCTCTCTCCCTTTGCTGCGCCTGAGAAGCAGAACAGCCCCAACGTGGCAATCGCTCCCTTTCACACCCCGTGTCCTTCCAGGGAGCGCTTTCAGCACACCTCACGGGGACTTCTGGTGTCCCTCCCAGCCAATTCCCTGGGACAGCAGTTGTGCTGCCACAGACTGCTGCACATCTCACTATTCAAAGCCACCAGTGCCCCTGGGAGTCCTCCTTATGGTCAGGTGGTGGATTTGCTTTTGAGCTTCCTCTCACAAGACAGGGATCTCTCCCATGCTGGAACTAGTGGAGGTCTTCTGCCAACTACCAAACAGCAGTCTGGTGAAATTGCTCAACTGTACCAATGATACTGAGCTCCAGAGAGGCTTTTCTGATCCACTTGTGGCAAACACATCCCTAATTTGGTCCGTGCACGGCAGTGTTAGCCTCTTGGAAAGGGGAGGGAAGGAACAACTACCCCTCTCCTGTGCTTCTGTAGCAACATACTGCAGTCTCATTTATAAAGATGAAAGATTTTTACAGTGAAAGGGTTGTCAAACATTGGAACAGGCTGCCCAGGGCAGTGGTGGATTCCCCGTCCCTGGAGGGATTTAAAAGCTGGGCAGATGTGGTGCTGAGGGACATGGGTTAGTGGTGGTTTCTGTCAGTGTTGGGTTGATGATTGGACTCGATGATCTGAAAGGTCCCTTCCAACACAGGATCCTGTGATCCATGATCCTTCTATCAGTCTATTGACAGGGGAATCCTATCACGTAGGACATGCATGATCCTTCTATCAGTCTGTTGACAGGGGAATCCTATCACGTAGGACATGCGTTAGAGTTTTTTCAATATTATTTACAAAGCACATCTACTCAAGTGAGTCAAAGGACCACACTGACCTGCAGTCAGGCACTGCTTATTGTTTCCTTGCTTGGGTCAAGACTTAGCTTTCCTCACCTGGAGCTACAGCAGTATTTAGGGCTGGTGTTAAGTAAGTAGATTGCTGAGGATTTGACTCTGCATTTCTGGGGTGGTTATTGTGGATTAGCTCTGGCTGTGCCCTGTGATGTCTTGTGTCAGCTGCGCTGCACTATTCTAGAGGCACCCCCAGAAGTGCATCTTCAGGTTTGGCTTTGTCCAAAAAGAATGCATTTCATCGACTTCAGTGTGAATCAAAGCACAGAAATTGCAAATGACGGAGGATCTCTTGAAAAGGAGCTGAACTAAAGTGTGGGTGTGGATGCACCCACATTGTCTGGCTAACAAGGGGGTCCAGCCCTGCTGCCATTCTGACAGGCAATCTCTGCAGACCTTCACTGCAACCTTCTGGGGAGGATTCACACATCACCAGCAGCAGCAGTATCACAGCTCAGGAGGTCTATTTAAAAGAACTTTATGGTCTGCTAAGCTCACAGAATGACAGAATCATAGAACAGTTTGGTTTGGAAAGGACTTTTAAAGGTCATCTAGTCCAAGGTCATCCTCATATATACTGGGCAACCCCCAGATAGTGGTTGCTGAATAGCTAAGAATGGAGGGGGATGAGAAATACACAGTGTAATATTGTTATCCATTCCATGTAGACAGCCTTCCAAGAATAATTGTCAACAGGGAGTCCTCATCTAAAGACTTTCTGTGAGCAGTATTTGATGTCTTTTATTCAAGGTCTAGAATAATATAGATATAATATAGAATAAAAATAGTTGCTAATAAAAAATTGCCTATGGCACAAAATCTCACATTATGAGGACAAGTCGCCTTGAAGAAATGTAAGGATCCGTTTGAAAAGCCTTAGAAAAGAGCTGTAAGAGTAAGTCTCAGGATCTTAAAACCAAAAGACATTTCAGTCACAGAGAGAAGGTACTGCTCTGTTTAGCTTATAAAGGAGAATTTGGAAAGCATCCGCATCAAGATCTGTAAATGTTTAAATGTGGAGACACAATAAGAAAAAAAAATGCTAAATCTAAAGCTGCACAAACTCAGACAATGGGTAAGACACAGTGGCACTGACAGGGCTTAGTCATTGGAACGATTTGCTGTGCGTTATAGAGGGTTTTCTGTGGCTTGAAATCAGAAAAATGTGCTGTGTCTGCACCAGATACACCAGCTCATGGCAGGACTCGTAGGTGGAAGTTTCTGGCCTGGAACTGCAGGAAGCAGTGGTACTTTCTGAGCATAATACCCATGAAACCTACGCACAAGATTCTTAGCATCACAACCTTAATAACAATTAGATATGATGGCTTTCTCTGGTGATATCTTTGTCACTGGCAGTGGTGATTTTCACTAACACAGTCCCACTTCCAGGATGTGCTAAGTGCTCATTCATTATAGGAGCCTTTTGAAAATGTGACATTTAGGAGCTAAGTTGACATGGGGACTTGGGCACCTAAGTATCATTTTAGGCAGCATTAGTTCAAAATATTTATCTGGAAAAGTCCTCTTCTAATCCCACAGGTGGGGGTAGATACCCGAGGGTACCTCAGTCCTTACTTGTACGTTCCTCTCTGGCCGTGGGCAAGGCAGTGGCCCCCGATGGGGGTGACTCTTTCCACCTGTGGACCCTTGTCCAGTGCAAGTGGTACCAGTTGGTGTGAAGCCCCTCAGTGGGGCTGTTGGACCTCCCAAAGGAGGGAGACTGACGCAGCAGCGGTGACAGTCAGGCCCCGTTCTGCCCGCAGAGGGAGGTCTGTCCCGCAGTCTCTCCACATTACCCCTTCAAAAGTGCTGTTCAGAAAGAGATTGAAACCATAATCCATGCAAATAAACAATCACATCCCATTTGATTACATCAAATAGAAAACTTGCCAAAATCTCTTGCTTCTAGTCGCCTTCTACTTATTGCCATACTAACTTGTGGCCTTTTCTGAGAAGCAACAAGAAATCCATGACTCCCCTAATTAGATTTGGTCCAGATTTATTATGATTGCCGTAAGGAAATCATCTTACGGCAGAGTGGATTTAAAAGCAGACCTTTGCTCCACATCTAAGTCACTTGTATTTTCCTAACTCTCTACATTCCTGCAGCCTTGTCAGCTCTCAGAGCTGGGCTGGGCGAGGATTGAAGTGGGGAGCTGTGCTTGTGGGGGGTGTCATTTGGATGAGAGCATGGCCGTCCATCAGGGTTCCCGTGGTGTTCTGAAAGCAAAGATTGGTGACTAAACTGTAATAAAGTAATTGCTTTCTGATTTCTAAATTCCCCTGCAGTTCCACTTAGATCGTAGCATTGGTTTTCCCATCCTAACCTTTTTCTGGTTTTGTTTTTGTTGTTGGGATATTTTTTGGTTTTAGTTTTGTTTTTTTTTTAACGGTCTACTAAACATTTCTATTCAAGGGTTATTCCTTTTATTTGAGTTGGGAACATGATTGGTGTGGCTCCTCCTTCCTTTTAGCTCCAGCCTCCTTGGGAAGACCTACAGAAACGTCCTGGCTCTTTTTCAGTTCTTATCACTCCTCTGTTTTGGGGTATCTTTAATGTGTGGCTGCATCTCGTTCTGCTCCCTATTTCTAGGGAGTGAGCTCTGCACAAGGAGTATGTGGATCCCAGCAGTGCCATTCACCCAGCCTGTTGCCTTTTGGAACCTACAAGGGAAGCACAAAAAATCCAAACTTGTCCACTTTGCTGAACGTTTTTCTTTTCACTTCTAGGTCCTCCTATTGAGCCTCTGGAGCCAACCAGGCCTTTACCGACTCTTCCTGTTCGCAGAATTCACTCCACTTCGGAGAGAAAACATGAGAGACATCCAAGACCTCCTAATCCTCCTCTGGGTGATCGGCCGTCCCCTCCTGGCACGAAGCCCAACATCTGTGATGGCAACTTTAACACCGTGGCTCTCTTTAGAGGAGAAATGTTTGTTTTCAAGGTACTAAGAATTCCTGCTTACCCATGAGTCTGTCTTTAGTTCTATTGCTGGAAAAAAATAATAGAAGGATTAGGTAGTGAGATTTGAAATATCTGTGAGAATAGCTCTGTTGTTCAGCTGGGGCTGGTGAGTGAGCAATACTAGAAGGAAATGTGAGCAGATTGGCTCCGTGATATTTGGAACCAGCGCCTGATGGCATTCACCCAGGCAGCCTGTGCACCACAGTGTGAACTGGATGCGCTGATGGAGAATTCAAACACCATCAAGCTCAGAGAGGAGCCACACATAAAGTCAGAAAGCAATACCAGTACCTAACCAGGGATTGAGCCTCTTTGCCTCCAGAGCTGGCCTGCATCCAGCCCTGAGCTCCAGGGAGCACTCACCCTACCTGAAGCTCTCGAGGAGGTTGACTCAGCCTTGATTGTAACTGCAGCCAGGGAGGGAGGAGAGGCTTTGCTCAGTAACCCATGTTGGGAGTGCCTTGAATATGGAAATCCACAGTCCCGTTCCCAAAATACCAGTAGCTTTCACTTTGCCCAGTGGGTGTGACTGTGGAGAGGGATATATGGAAGGTCGTTAACTGGACAAACCATATCAGTTGCAGAAAATGCCTGAACTGAAAATACTTGGAAGGCCAGGG